CTCGTGATTGACCAGGCCTGGCAGATATTTAGAGCGAGCTTGTCGCGCATACCGTGGGACCACGCCACAACCGAACTTTCCACTTGCTGAGCACCTTCGCGGAGGAGTTTGAAGTGGACGCTTCGGTTCATAGCCTTCGGGCCCTCACCGTGTGGGGACAGCTGGCGCGCTACTATCGCCCATTGCGGCGCCTTGAGCACGCGCAGCGGGCAGGCATTGGTGGTTACGATCCCGTTCCGAAACCAAGGGCCAAGGCAGCAGCAAAGGCCGCAGCTCCTGCGCGGCAAGGGCCAGGACCAGCACCTGCGGACACTGTCCAGGGTGCTGCTCCAAGCGCACCGGCAGTGGCCGCAGGTGCACCTGTTGCTCTTGCAGCGCCGGAGCCGGCCGCACCGCACGCTGAAGCGCCCGAGGCCCCTGACGCATCGCCTGACGAAGCACCGGAACTTGAGCGCGCAGGTGGCAACGTTGACGACGAGGTGAGTTCATCGCAGCCAACGGTTAGTGTGGAGGAGCACGTCGCCCCTGAAAGTGCGGTCGAAGACGTAGGAGTTGCGCATCAGGAAGGAGGTGAGGAAGAGGAGCTGGATCAGGACGAAGAAGTGAAGTCTGAGCCTGAGAGCATTTATCAGCCGCTTCGCCCTGGTTCGGGTTCTCCTAGATCTAGGTCCCTTCCGGGTGACCCTAAGGCCTCCTCCTCAAGCCGTTTAAGTGCACGTGGTCAACCCCTAATCCTCCATCCTCCGACCAAAGCCTTTCCTACTGTGAGGATCGATTCCTCGGGAGTGTGGGTCAGGCAGTCAGGACCACCCTCAGTTCCTGTCGCCATAACTGACCCACATCCTCAGAACGAAGGGGAAACAAGCTCACAGGAGTTCAGTGGTGAGGAGCACGAGCTCCCTGACGAGGCTTGGTTATATCCTGCGTCCTATAGACGCTCACATCGTCAGCCTGGTGTTCCTCGCGGCGTAGAACAACACACCATAGGAACTGCCGAAGAAGACGCCACCTTTGGCGAGCAGCAGGCAAAAGGTTCCAGGCGTAGGCCCGCGTCCGCCCCTCTCCCTTCCACCAAGGTCCGGCGCACCGAGTCTCCTGCAACCTCAAGGGTGCTGCCTAATTTGCCGCAGAACCCTGAAGAGCCCAACCTTACGAGGGCGAGATTGCTCCGCGCCTGGTTGCACCTAGGATAGCCTCCAACCCTAAGGTTACCCTAACTCAAGGTGCCAGTGCCCGCCCTCCTGCTGCAAAGGGGGTCCTTCGTGTCGCCAGAACTCCACCGCAGCCACCGCCTGCAAAGCGTCCTGCTCCACACCTTCCTTGCCGCCCAGCACAAGAGGCCGAGGCCGAGCCACTTTCGCTTTTGTCTAGGGCTACCATTTGGGCCGAGAGGGAGGCCAGAGCTGCAAAGGCCGCTTCTCCCAAGGTTGTGCTTTTGGCAAAGGGTGCTGCTGCGCCCAAAGCGCACCAAGGTCCCCAGGCTGAGGTCAAGCAAAAGGCAGGGCCAGCTCAACGCGGACGGTCCTCGTCCCCTGCAGCCGCAGCCAAGGGCACTTCCACAGGCCGTGCCAGGTCCACAGGCGATCGGACAGACAACGTTTTTGTTGCAGCTCCATTAACAGCCAGGGAGCGGGGTTCACCAACGGCAAAGGCACTTGCGCCTCAGGTAGCAGCGCCCCGTTATAAGGTACCCCCAACCGACCGTCAAGGGGTTCCCTATAAGATAGCACCCGGCCCTCCACCTAAGGCAAAGGGTGCTGCCGCAAGCGCGCCAACATATAAGGGTCCCCCTAGCGAGGTTTACTTAGCTCTCCTGCGGAAGGGTTTTACCCCGCCTGTGCCCAGGAAGGCAGAGCCGGTTCACGCCCAAAGGCAGGCTTACCATCATTGGCATTAGAGCCAGGCAGCGAACCCAGGTCTTGCCTCGCCTCCAACGCAGCTGCTTCCACCCAATCCAATATCTTCGCCTCCGGCCGTCAATCCAGATAGTCGAAGACCCATTACCGTTGTGCTGGATTGGAAGGATACCTTGTCCTTGGATTGGCAGGAGAAAGGGCAGAAGTTCGGTCCTAGCTTCATCGCTGACTTTCGAGACTTTGCACTGGAATTCAGGCCCATTAACGTCCAGATATTGTCGTTTACGGGTCACGCGAACGCACATACTTACGAGCAAACGTGTCTTGTGCCCGCGCAAAGGGAGCTGCTAAAAGCGCTCCAAGACATCAGTGCAAACAGCAGCGTTGGGTACCAACAGTGCTTCAGCCGCACTGGTGCAGGTGGGAAAGCAGTGCTGCTTCACACATACAGTCCGCCTACGTCGGCAATCGTCGACGACAATCTCCAAATTCTGGAGGAATCCAGTCGCACTGGCTGTTGGACCTACAGGGCGAACGAGCCAGGCACGACCAGGTCAATAGGGCACCTGCTTACACAGCTCGCGTCTGACCTGCGCCGAGTGGGGCGGCATAACGCTCCCCTAGCACGCGCGCTCACACCGAGCGAGTACGTCCGAGACCCTCGAGCAGAGCCGCGTCACAGTTGGAGGTAAAAGGTTGCCCGCTCCAGCGCCCCAGGGTGCTGCTCCCATAGCGCACCAAACCTACTTAATAGGTTAAGGGTGCTCGGGTTTAACTGCCTCCGTCTTCTTTTACCTGCTACAGCCCGGGTGGCCGAGCCCACACATCCCAATACCGTGTTGCGCCCAAAACGGGTGCTGCCCAAGAAGCACAAGCCATAAGGTTTAAAGCCTTGGGTTGGGTAGGGGTCACCTAGGTGCAAGCATCCTTCGCCAAAGGGCCGCCGCGCCCATCACATCTTTTGCGTCAGGGCCGCCGTGCCCAACACATTCTCCCTCTGCATCCGGGCCGCCACGCCCAATGCACTTCCGCTGCAGCCCCTCCATAGGGTGCTGCTCCAAGCGCACCGGGGCTTTAGGGTCCTAGTGCTTTTGGATTTGGGTTAGTGGTTTCCTGGTTGTCCATCTTTCACAACACTTTTGCACTGCGCATTTTGCGCCATAGAGACAGCGCGTCTCTTGTTCTCTTTCGTTCTTTGTCGCTCGGGGTGCTGCCACAGTGCGCACCGCTGAAGCTTCCGTCCGCGCCGCCTGCGAAAAGAGAGGCGAGCCTCCCTAAGTCCCTAAGGGCTTCCCTAAGGTTCTGTTTGGGGGTGTGGTGATTTGAAGTTAAGGGCGTTTTGGCACAAACCATTGGCCCAAGGGGACGTGAACCCGACATGGCGTCAGGCATGTCCCCACCTTCAGATCCCAGGTCTAGGTCAACGCATGATTCCTTCAGCGACCCCGATCTGGCACCACCCATAAGGAATAGGCACGCTCTAGTTCCTGCAGCTTCCACGATAGTACGTAGTAGGCAGCAACAAGCCCGAACCCCAATGCGTATCGGTCCTGCTGAAGCGTCATCGTCATCGGGTACCCCCAATAGGGCACCGGAGCTAAGCGCAACGCAAGCTACCTTCCTAGCAGGTGCAGCCATTCAGCAGGCGAGCCATGCCTCAGGAGTAGCTCTAGAAGCGGCGTCCGCGGCACAGCACTATGCGGAGCGTGAACAGTTCATCACCCAGCAAGCGCGTGAGGCTGTTCAAAGCATCGCGGCCCGAGCGGCGCAAGAACAACAGCAGCAAGCAGAACAAGTTGCTCAGTACGAAGAGTCACTCCGTGCTCAAGCATCCAACATAGCGAGTGCAGCACAATGCGCACTGACCAACGCCCAACAAAGGGAAGAGGTCCTAAGGCTTCAGGCTAACCAAGCGTTGTCCTCAATGGACGCAGAGGCTCAGCGAAGAATTGCCGAGGCTTCCTCACAGGCACAGCAAGCCGAATACGCGAGGGTCGAAGCCGAAAATGCTATGAAGGATGCCAGAGAAAGGTGGAGGATGTCGGAAATTCGCAACACAGAGATGTCCCGTGAGGTAGAGGCATTGCGCGCTGAGCTTTCGACAGTTCGCGCTGAGACATTGTCCCGCGTAAGCGCCTTAACGGAACAACTTATGGTTGCTAGGGATCAGGGTTTTGAGGTTTATCCTCCTACCCCTCTTCCTATGGGAACTCCAACAATGTTTGTTCCCGACGAAGTCCCTCAATCCTTTCCGCAGCCCGCCTTCTCGCCCGCACAAAGCCCAAATGCTACGGTTTCTCACCCAGGTTCCGGGGCACAAACCCCGACTGCGTCTGCGCAACCAGATGCCTTGCCCGTGCCCCGAGAGGGTGCAGCCAGCAGCGCACCGGGGATTCAGGTAGCCATGACACAAGATGTTCAGGAAGCTACCTTGCCAAATAGTGGTTTGGAACTTCGGGTTGACGAGCTTGCAAAGTTGTTAAAGGGATTAGCTGAAGTTGTAATGGCTCAAAATGCAGCACCGCAAACCCAGCACAACGCAGGGGGTGCAGCTGGCCAGAGCGCACCAACACAAACTGGAGGAGCCCAATCCTCTAGTGCGCCAGCCGATATCCCATACCTTCACTTGCTTGGAAACCTGCAAGCTGCAGGAGGTGCATCCGCTCCAGGACCTCCAGGTCCGCCGAGCACAAGCTCCTCATCGTCCAGTTCGAGTTCCTCGAACTCGCCTAAGCATCCTACGTGCCGAATGTGTGGCAGCCGCGGCCATGCGGAAGTGGACTGTCCACATCTCACCATGAACCAAGGTGGTGGTGGTGGGGGCGGTGGTGACGAAGATGATGAAGGGAAAGCTCTAAGCGCATCAGCATCGGCCGCAAAGTCGCCAGCAGATGAAGAAGAAGTTGAAGAAGTCCTCCTGAGAATGCAGGACAGGCAAGAGGTTTCATCAACCAGGCACTTGTTGCCATAGGGCGCGTGCAGCGTTCTCCCGGCAATGAAGTGTACATCTGGGCTCAGGACTGTCTGACAAAGACGGACCAGGAGCTGATCCGGGATCAAAGGTTTCCTCGCCTTCAAAGAGAGATTGCAGCCAAGCTACTTAAGGTTTGTAGAAAGGGCCGCTTTGGGCTCCTGTTTCAGCAGATGGTCGAAAGAGAGCGCATAGACACTGGTGGCATGCCCAATGGGCGCTGCATGCTGCGCGCTATCTTCAAGCATTTTCAGCTGGAGCATGACCGTATAGGTATGCTAGGCGAACGCAACCTCCTCAACATTAGGCTTGCCGGGGATGGTCCGCATCATCTTGAAGCATTTCGCGACAAGTATCAGTATGTACTTGCCACCATTCCCGTAGATGAGCTTCCCAAAGAAAGCACAATGTTCAATCATCTCATAGATGAGCTTGATAAGAACAACGCGCTCAAGCCCAAAATTGAGAAAGCTCGGGAAGCTAGGCCGGGGTCACACAGGAGAACCTGCAAGTGGCTGTGGAATCGGGTCGACATCGTTCTCGAGTTGCACCAGCAAAAGGTCAACAGGAACGAGTTCGATAAGAACCTTCAGGGCAAACCCGAGGTTTTGACGTCGACGTCAAAGGGTCAGGACGCCAGGACTCCTGCGAATCCTGCCCCTCCGACCACACCGGCTGCTCCAGCCAAGCTTGATGGAAAGCCCAAAAAGGAAAAGAAGAAGAAGAAGAAGAAGAAGAAGGCAAAGGGCAGCGAGGAAGTCCCGGCAAACCCTGCTGCTACTCCCAAAGGTGGCAAGGGCAAGGGCAATGGCACCCCACGCAACGGCACCCCTAGGGGTACTCGCGGCGGTGGGAACAAGGGCGGCGATGGGAACACCACACCTAGGTCCGAACAGGTCCGCCGTGAAGGCGAAGACCCCATGCATGTTTTATGCGTATGGTGCGTGCAAGGGCGGTCCGTGCCCCTTCCTCCATGACGACAACAACAAGTATAAGGGTCCTAAACCAAAGTCATTAGCAAAAGCGAAGCCGAAAGCTAAGGCAAAGGCCAAAGACGCGACAGCTCCACTCCTCAGCGCAATGCCCATGCACGTTCCCAGTGACAACAAAGTCACGTGGCTTTGGGATACCGCAGCCGGCAGGCATCTCATAGGCAGACAAGCTTTGTCCTCCAGGGCGCTCGCGTGCGTCCGCAAGACCGACACGCCTGTTGGTTTTGCAACTGGAGGCGGGGCGCGAGAAGGCACTCACAGCGTTGCGTTCGAGGGTAGCCGTATCCTCCCAAGCGCCGAGCAGGTCTATGTCCTCAAAGAGTGTCCTCCCGCATTCTCTGTTGGAAAGGCCGTCCTCGACGAAGGCTCTCTCTTCGTTTGGGATCCTAGGGAAAGCCAGCCGTACCTCGTGCCAAAGCAAGACGTACACAGGTGTAGTAGGCTCAAAGTCCCTAGGAAGGCTAGGATAAACGCCACAAGGGTTGTAGAGTACGTTCCTCAGTTTGACGAAGAGCTCAAGCCCACCGTTTACCCTTCCTCCTCCAGCCTAAGTCCTGTCGTTGCCTCCGCTTCTCCCGCTCCAGCGGAAGACGATGCAGTGTCTATCGGCGAGATACCTCCTCCAGAGGGGTATGAACCGACAGAGATCGGAGATAGCGACGAAGATGCCCGCATTGTAGACGCAAATGCACTTGCAGAAGAGACTAGAGAGCAGCTTTTTGGCATAGGCGCTGAAGGTGAGTCAGCTGCCGAAGAACCATCTCCCGACTTGCCTGAACACGCCATTCAAGATTTGCTAGCGCTTGATGGCAGTGCAGACATGTCAAAAGAAGTTGCCCGAGTCCGCGCCGAAGCAGGCCTCCCTCCGGAGCCTGCACCTGCAGAGGGCGCAGCCGTTGGCGCGCCACCTCATGCACAGCCAGAAGAGCCTTCCCGTGAAGAGGCTCTCAGAACTGAGGCCACCTCTGCAAAGCACTTGCGCACTCACTTTCCAAAGAATCCTTTCTGCAAAATCTGCCATGTCGCAAAGACGACCTCCATGCGTATCGCTCGCAAGCCGGATGGGAAGGCTGATGACCTGATTGACGTTCCCACTGCTTCCTTTCAGCAACTTGCCACTGATGACGTCATCCTCGCGAAAGGAGACGACCATCGAGGTATAGGAACAGGGGGGGTTAAGTCACACCACGTCATTAGGGATGTCTTCTCAGGCGGTAGGATTGCATATCCTATGACGCGCCGTGGCGCACAGCAGCATGCACGCAACTACCGCCACTTCATGGGTCTCAAGGCCTCCGAGCTTGCACCCACCTGTCTCATCAAAATGGATGAAGCAGGCGAGCTAAAGACAGCAGCCGAGGAAGTAGGCTTAATCCCCGACACCTCTCTCCCTAATAGGTGGCCGCACAACGCGGCGCTAGAGCGAGACGTGAGAGAAGAGAAAGAGTGTTGTAGAGCCATTCACTTGCAAAGCGGTTTGCCCTATGACTTTCACACTTACTCATTCCCGTTCGCGTGCTTGTCCTTGTCCTTTGATAGGACTGCAAACACCGGAACAGGTGTCACTCAGTGGGAAGCCTTGACAAAGGAACCCTTCTCAGGGATGAGGCTTTGTTTTGGCCAGCTAGTTTGGTATAGGACAAAACTTTCCAAGCTAACGTTAGAGCCCAACATGTCACCAGCCTTGTTCCTTGGATGGCGAATTGATGCTGGTATGAGGTACCGCGGAGTCACTCGCGTACTCGATTACCATGCTTTCCGCAACAAGCGAGAAGTCAGCGTCATTGATGTTCCTGAACCTGAATTGTTTGTCGAAGAGGGCGAGCCCATCTTCCCTCTTGCAAATGCCACGCGCAAGGCACTTGTGGACGGCACAGTCCTTGAAGGTCCTGCCGCGCGCTCTGCACTCCCAGACTTCCCCGTTCGCGAGGTTCCCTTTCCTCCAACAGGTGAGGCCCCAGCTCCTTTCAAAAGGGGTCCTAAAGTTAAAGGGGTCTACATAACTGTCGAGCGAATAATTCGCTTTAGGGAACTCCTGGTTGTAAAGCATGTAGAGGTAAGGCAGTCAAGCATATCGAAGTTTGCCGCGAGCGTTTTGCCAAGCTGGTAAGCACAGAACGCGAGGAGGCACAGGCTAAGAAGGCAGTAAGCAAGGCGCAGGCTGTCGCTGAAAGCCTAGAGGTTCTTGGGGCCGACCCTAGCCTCGAGGCTGTCGCAGACAATCTCCTTGAGGCAGCTGCTGAAAGCGCTGTGGCACCGCCAGCTTCAGAGGAACCTGCTCCCTTACCTGCCTCTGCGTCTTCACCTCCACTAATCGTGGCCTCCGGCGCTGCGCTCCCTCCAAGTTCAGCTACAAGGACCGTGCTCACTGAAGCTACCTGTGGATACCGTAGTGGCGTCCCAGTCTTCGGCATGCCCGCTCCCTTGCCATGCTTTGGAAAGCCGCGCGTCAAGAACAAAAGGCATAGAAAACGAGCAGCTAAGGGAAGCAAGCTGACAACGTGTTTTGAATACGCGTGTTCCGAGCACTCTATGCTTGGAAGAGTTCATGCCGAGCTTGGCGTCCCTCACGTGAGACTAAGCGAAAACACACTTAACGTCTCTGACCCCGTTGTGGCAGAACAGCTTCATGTTCAGTTGAAGGCGTGCCCCAACTCGCATTTGTGGGCCTCACTTCCCTGCACATCAGGTTGTCCATGGCACAGGGTCGGGCTTAGTCAGCACGGTGACACATACCGCACCAAGCTTAGGCTAAAGGTCAAAGCTTCTCAGCGTTTGTTTTCTAAGTTTGCCTCCCACGCAGAAACTGCCCTTGCGTGTGGTGCAGACGTCACTTTCGAGTGGCCGCGCAACTCGGACTCGTGGAAGAGAGCCGATGTCCAAGCTTTCTTTAAGAAGCACCCTTGTTTTCGAGAGGTTAACTTCGATGGGTGTAGACTTGGGGTTGTAGGTCAAGAACAGCAGCCGGTCAAGAAGCCTTGGCGCTTAATGACCACGTCAGATGCAATCGTAAAGTCCTTTTCTGGTCTCCATTGCAACCATGGCCCCAAGGACCACGCAAAGCCTAGAGGCAAGGTTCTCGAGAACACTGGCTTCTACACGCAATCAATGTGTGAGCTCATAGCTTATGCTTTGAATCCGAGTCTCAAGCGCAAGGTCATCCCTGCGATGCCTGTCATCCCCTGCACCACTGACAATGAGCACAGGCAAAAGGAGCAAGAACTTAAGCATGTTTCCTCCCTTGCCGGTCTTGAAGACCTTGCAGTCGCACTAGAGGGCGATGAAAAGGCCCATGAACTTCTCACAGAGATAGTCGACCTGAACGCCCTAATATGCCAAGTCTGCGACCTTCCTAAATCCCCATCTAGTGCCCCCGAGGTGAATGCCTTAGTCACAAAGCTCTTGTCCAGGGCCGAAATGCTCGCTTCACCGCAAGCGCTAGAAGCAATTCGCGCCGAAGCAGACGGCCTAAGAGCAGTTCCCGTATGGGACGAGACTAATCCTCGGGAGTACCGGGATGTCCAGTCCGAGGCCCGCCGCACTGGAGCAAAGGTACACTTCGGCAAGCTAATGAGCATTGCGTCCATTAAGTTTTGGGAGCTTGCTCAGCACCTTCAAAAGATGAAGGGCCGTATTGTGTACCGCGGCGATTGCGCTAAGGGCGAAGAGGGTGCTGCCGCCGTGTACAGAGAGCTTGGGGCCAACGCTACCTCTGTACAGGGTCTTAATGCCTGCTTGGCATATGGCGCACTACCCGGCAATCAGTCCTCGGCAGCCGACGCCATCAATGCTTACGTTCAGGCACTCCTAAAATCCAAGTTCCAGACTTGGATAGAGTTGCCACCAGAACTCCGCCCTACATGGTGGCGCGAGCGCTTCGTCCGCCGGGTCGTGCTGCTGCTAAGGGCGCTGTACGGACATCCCGAAGCCGGTGGTCTGTGGGAGAAACATCTTAAGGAGGTTCTTCAGGGTTTGGGGGGTTACGAGCTCCAAGAGTACCCCGGCAACTTCTGGTTGCCAGAGACTCAATTGTTGCTTTCAACATACGTCGACGACCTGACGTTGTCAGGACCACAAGAGCATCACCAACCCTTCTGGGAGAAGCTCTGTTCCCTCGTTGACGTTGAACCTCCCGAGCCAGTATATAGGATCCTTGGTCGCAATCATTATGTCATCAACGCACCAGCCGAGAGTTCAGAGAACGCTGCCCTAGGCGCGTTAAAAGGAGCCGTTGTTTTCGACATGTATGATTACGCGCAACAGACCGTAGATCTTTACACTGGCATCACCGGTACAAAGAGCCTCAAAGCCGCCCAAACACCGTTCTGTCCAGAAGGAAGCCTTGTCCCTTCAGACGACGAAGTCACGGGCGAGCTCGCTCCAAATGCTTGCAAAATCCTCATGAAGGCTCTGTGGCTTGGCAGGCTAGCAAGGCCTGACATCATCAAGCCCATAGGAGATCTGGCAACACGGGTTCAGTCCTGGACGCGTAACAACGACAAGCAACTCCATCGCTTGATCTGTTACATCAATTCCACCAAAACCCATCGGTTGGTCGGAACCGTCCAGGACAACCCAGGGGAGCTGCATCTTGCGCTCTACGTTGATGCCGATTTCGCTGGGGAAAAAGTGGATGCCAAGTCCACTTCAGGGGGGTACCTTGTCCTCAAAGGTCCTAACTCCTTCTTTCCTTTGGCATGGGTTTGCAAGCGACAGACGTCAACTTCACGAAGCACTACTGAGTCAGAGATAGTGAGCTTAGCACACTCGCTCTTCTCCGAAGGCCTCCCGGCATTGCAACTCTGGCAAACCCTCCTGGGCCAGGATGGCATAAGGCTTGTCATCCACAAGACAACCAAGCCACCATCATAGTAGCTAAGAAAGGTTATTCCCCTAAGCTAAGGCACATCCAGCGTACCCATAAGGTCAACCTGGGTAGCATTGCCGAACAGCTTGACCAGGAAGACGTTGAGCTAACTTACGTTGACACAAATCTGCAAGCCGCAGATATCTTCACCAAAGCTCTTCCTCCTAACAAATGGGATAATGCCCTTAAGCTACTAGGCATAAGACAAAAGTTGCCAGAGGTCCTTGTCGACATAAGGGACTTGCACTTGAAGCCTGGGTCTGGCCCAAAGACTCAGCATGCACAGGGTGCTGCCGCTGGCGCACCATGTACATAGAGCATGTTTTTCCAGTGGTTCTTTCCATTGGAGAATTTAAGAAGACAAGTCAGAGGAAGGTGTAGTCTCAACGGGCACCCTCCGGGAAGACTCCGGAGAGGGGGGAGTTAAAAGAACACGACTCCCGAGCCCCCTTCAGGGTAGCCCTTAGCAACCTGTAAGACTAGTGTGTCTCACTTGCCCAGGTCCGACTTCACCGACATCTTTGGCTCAAGACGGAAAAGACACAGTCTTGTAGTGAAGCCCCTTTCTGTTCAGGTTGGGTTGAGGTTTCGTCTGTTGCCTCTTCCCTTGGGATCACCTCCCTCCTGTGTTTGGGGCTCACTTAACTTAGGGTTTAGGGTTTAGGGTTTAGGGTTTAGGGTTTAGGGTTTAGGGTTTAGGGGTCTTCTCTTCTCAGGGGTTAGGGTCTAGGGTTTTTTAGGGACGAAAGGAAGGACCTTTCTTAGGGACCTTGGGGGGTTATGTAAGGGTTATGTAGGGGCTACTTCGGTATATAGGGACTATGTAAGGTATACGCAAGGTTTATAGATGGGACCCCTGCACTCTCCTATATAATTCCTAATTCCATTCGTAATTCCTAGATGCCATGTGGCATCTGCTGGTTGGTTTAGGGTTTAGGGCTTAGGGGTTAGTGGGGTTGTAGGGATTTCGAGTTTTAGGGCACTGGGTTTTGGCGGCTGTTGTTTTTGGGCTTTCGGGTTCAGAGGTCTATGGTCTACATGGGGCCATGGGGTGGAGGGGACTGCCCAAAGGGCTTTAGGTTGAGAGCAGCTACCCCATACTGCAAAGGTTCTGGCTGGTATACTTTAGGGGTCGGAAAAAGTACTCATCGTATCCCCTTCATGGTCCCTATATATGGGCACCAAAATAACCCCCCAAAAGCATATTCAAATGATTCAGGTGGCTGTTAAGTTGTTTTCCGCGCTGCAACCCTAAACCCTAAACCCTGAACCCCAAAGAACAGTGCACTTTTCGTCGTCAGCGAGGAGACTGGACCATAGGCATTCCAAGCCTTGCTTAGGGTTAACTTTAAGAACCCAAAACCTTCTTTTTGTAGGGTTCCCAAGAATCCTACAAGGGCATGTGTACTCAGAACCTAAAAAAAAGCGGTTTTTGGGTTTTTCGGGAAGGATGTAAGGGTCTAAGAGTTTAAGGGTCCAAGAGTTTAAGGGTTTAAGGGTTTAAGGGTTTGGGGTATAGAGGTTTATATGGGGGCGGTCTGGCGCGGTTTGGGTGTTTAAGGTCAAGGGTTTAGGGTTTAGGGTTTAGGGTTTATTTAGGGTTTAGGGTTTAGGGGGAGCTGGAGGACTCCGAAAGAGCTCCGTGCGCGTGGTTTGGGCTTTCCTTGGCGGAAGTCGGCCAGAGCCCCAGCCTTTCTCCAACACCCTGCCCCCCAAAACCCCTTAAGGAATATACCTTACATCATATTAGGGTTCGTATTAATTATGCTTTAAGGTATATTCCTGAATTAAGGGGTTTTGGAGTCTCAGGGCTACCAGTCTAGCCGCCCTAATCGCCAAAGCCACCCAAAACGTCAACCCGATCCCCACCCTAACCCTAAACCCTAAACCCTAAACCCTAAACCCTAAACCCTAAACCCTAATTGAACCCTAAACTCGGGTGTTGGGATTCAGGGATGGAGGACTTCGGGATTTAGAGTTTTGAGGTTTACATGTTCCTTAAAGAGTCGTGCTCGTCGGCCAGTTATCCAGTCCTTGCATTTTGTTTCGATGATGGGGAACACTAAGCACTAAACCTTAAACCCTAAACCCTAAACCCTAAACCCTAAACCCTAAACCCTAAACCCTAAACCCTAAACCCTAAACCCTAAACCCTAAACCCTAAACCCTAAACCCTCCCTCAAGATTCAATTACCTGACCCTGTGCAACCCCTCAGTTCGAAGTTTTGGCCATTAGCCATTGGATGGTCCCATTTGAGGCGTTCCCGAAGTCCCAACAAGGGCTCCGGGTCTAGGGTTTAGGGTTTAGGGTTTAGGATTTAGGGTTTAGGGTTTAGGGTTTAGGGTGTAGGGTGTAGGGTGTAGGGTGTAGGGCTTAGGGTGGGTGGCCACGTTGTCGGGTGAAAAGGGCTTTGGGGGGGGGGGGGGGGGGGGGGGGGGGGGGGGGGGGGGGGGGGGGGTAGAGGTGTTGGTGATGCTTAGGGCTTGGACATGTTAGAATGCCAAGATGAGAGTTGGGAGGGTTCAGGGTTTATGTTATCCATCTTGTCGGTTTAGGGTTTACTGTTCCTGAACCATAGACCTCCATCAAGCTTTGGCTAGCATTTTGGGTTCTACCATGTCTTCTATGAATCCTTCGTGCGACCCCAAACCCCGAAACCTCGAGGGCTAAAAACCGTTCAGTAGGACCTAAAACCCTTATAGTCTTGAACCGCCAACCCCTAAGCCTCTCTAAGAGCTTAAACCCTACTTACTCTCTTAGCCTGTTATGAACCCCACAAATACTCCATTAAACCCTCTAAACCCTAAACCTCCAAAGACTGCAAACCTAAACCCCGAATCCCCAAACCCAAAACCCTCTGAACCCTACACCCCAAAACCCTAAACCCAGGGTTGCCAGGGTGAGGTTCGGTTTCTGAGAACCGAACCTTAATTATGCACGGTTCGGTTCCAGTCCGGTTCGGTTCCCACGGTTCGGTTCGGCGGTTCGGACGGTTCGCATTCAGTGCATGTCACTATAAGGGTACCCTAAACCGTATGACAAGAGCCGTCGTTTCATTCAAGGTATGTTGTGCTCACCTTGTGATGGGGGGCTGAAATCTAGAAAACACTAAACCCCTAAGCCCTACCCGCCAAACCCTCCTCGCCTCCAAAAGCCCTCGAAACTCTCTGGCAAGGTGGGCCTCGGCGTTTGCAAAGCGGACGTCGAGAGCTTTGAGGAAGGCCGCCAGATCTGCCTCTTGGCTAAACCCAAGACACCCTAAACCCCAAACCCCAAACCCCAAACCCTAAACCCTAAACCCTAAACTCTAAATCGGGCGTTTGGGGGGGGGGGGGGGGGGTTGTAGGGTTTGGGGGGTAGGCTTTTGTCACAACACCAAACCCGATCAAGTCGGCGTCAACCCGAAAAGCCCAAACCCTACCATTTGTTGGACAGTTGCTGCGCGTCGGGCATAAGGGTTTAGGGTTTTAGGTTTAGGGTTTAGGGTTTAGAGTTCATGGGGTTGTCTGGGGTTTATGGAGTTTGTAGGATTGATCGCGGTTCATAGGGTTTCAGGGTGTTTTTGTTTTCAATAGGCTTTAGGGTTGCGATTGCGTGCTAGCATATGTGGGGCAGATTCTCGTGCCAGTCCCAAATGCCAGGCAGCAGGCACATGTTAAAGCCGTCGAGAAATTGCCTGCAATGGCGGCATGCAAAAGGGACAGCACCTGAGACACGTGCAAGAAGCCTTATGCCATTGTGCCGAAAGTCTCCGAAGCCCTGAACCCCAAGCCCCAAACCCTCAACACCGTAGCCTGAACCCTGTAAACCCAGACCCCAAACCCCAAACCCCAAACCCTCAACCCTAAACGCTAGTTAAGCCCTAAGCACTAAACGGGGCGGGTTCTTCGTGCTTCTTTTTCGGAACTTCTTCCATACCAACAGCTCAGTCTAAATACCCCAACACTAAACCCTAACCGCCCCAAACACCCCAAACACCCCAAATACCCCAAATTTCCCCAAACATCCCAAATACCCCAAATATCCCAAATACCCAAATACCCCAAATGCCCCAAATACCCCTAAACCAAAAACTCACCAACTAACTCTAAACCATAAACCCTAAACCCCGAAACCCTAAACCCTGAACCCAAAAACCCTAGACCCTAAACCCTAAACCCTAAACCCTAAACCCTAAACCCTAAACCCTAAACCCTAAACCCTAAACCCTAAACCCCTTGAGACCCACGATAGCGCTCCCGAGGTCTGCTACCGACGCCTGAGCTCAAGGGCAAGGCAAGCTCCTTCCGCCCCAAGGAGATTCTGAGAGGATTTGAGGGTTTAGGGTTTAGGGTTTGGGGCTTAGGGTTTGGGGTTGGGGGTTTAGGGTTAGGGTTTAGGGTTTAGGGTTTAGGGTTTAGGGTTTAGGTTTTAGGGTTTAGGGTTTAGGGTTCAGGGTTTAGGGAAAGTTTATGGTCCCTTAGTATTGTTACTTGGAGCCGAACTTGGCCGCCTGCTGATGCTTGGGGTGGTCGCAAAGGTGCCGATGTTTGCCGTGCTGCGTCAAGAATCCCTAAACCCTAAACCCTAAACCCTCAACCCTCAACCCTAAACAATAAACCCTAAACCCTAAACCCTAAACCCTAAACCCTAAACCCTAAACCCTAAACCCTAAACCCTAAACCCTGACCCGGTTGGTAACGGCTGATTTCTGGGGACGCTGGACTATCGTCCTGCCTTGGACCATGTGCGTCCTGCGCTTGTGTGTCGCCTGATGAAGCACATGGGCATGCCTTCTGGCCTGGCCGATATGATCCTCGCCATGTGGGGTCAGCAAGAAAGGTACTTGCAACTGCATGGCTGCACCCTAAACCCTAAACCCTAAACCCTAAACCCTGAACCCTGAACCCTGAACCCTGAACCCTGAACCCTATACCCTAAACCCTAAACCCTAAACACAAATCAGCCTGAGCAAGTTACCTGTACTTCTTCAAGGATGTGTCCGGCGTTTCTCTGAGAGCAGGCATAAGGCGTAGACCGAAGGCCCCAGTCAAGATGCCTTCCAGTGATCATGCTGCAGTGCTTTGTAGGGCGGCCTCCTTGCTACGCAGTGCTCATACTACACCGATCAACCCCGAACCCTAAACCCCAGACCCTAACCCCCCCCCCCCCCAACTAAAGGCAAAGCTATATCGAGCTACTTCGATGTGGGGTTTAGGGTTTGGGGTTTGGGGTTTAGGGCTTAGGGTTTAGGGTTTGGGTTTTGGGGTTTGGGGTTTGGGGTTGGGGTTTGGGGTTTGGGGGTTTCATCTTCCGGGCCCGAAGACTTCGCTCCGCACCTGGAACTTAGAATGCTCCAGTGCCCTTGTTCATCCTGACCCTAAAACCAAACCTTGAACCCTAAACCCTAAACCCTAAACCCGAAACCCTGAACCCTGAACCCGAAACCCTAAACCCTAGCCCTAAACCCTAAACCCTAAACCCTCAACCCTAGATTACGGGACCCAGCCGTGCCCCGCTCATCCTTTTGAGTAGATTCTTACAGACCCCACTCAACAACACAAGGCTTCGGGGTTTAGGGTTGAACCCTGCGCCCCCACACCCCTAAACCCTTCCTAAACTCTAAGCCGCAAAACCACCCATCCTAGATTCCATGCGACGGACCTAGCTTTGAGAGGTATAAGCAGGGACCCTTAGAAGGGACCCTTCATCTTATTCCCCTCAAAATCCCCCTTTGTATACCTTATATAGTCCCTATATACCTAAGTAGGCCCTTTTAAATAACATTTAAAGAACCCCCAAGGTCCCTTATCAGGGTCCCCCCTTGAATCCCTTGATAAATTTCCTCCATCGGAGGCGAGTACCAGCCCGAGACGAAGCACGGACTCCCCAAGGTTCGGCTCGGGGGAAGCTCTGTGCGTTGGCTGCCAAGGTCTTGGAGATTTAGGGTTTAGGGTTTAGGGCTAGGGTTTAGGGTTTAGGGCTGGGGGTGCAGGAGGCTTGAGGGTCAGAGTTCAGGATTAGGGCTCAGAGCGTGGGATCCCAACTGGAAGCTTAGGCTGTCTGGTGCCTATGGCAGGTCGATGCAGATCTCCTTCTCCGAGAGGGTGGCAAAGGCAGGTGCACCCTCAACCCTAAACCCTAAACCCTAAACCCTAAACCCTAAACCCTAAACCCTAAACCCTAAACCCTAAACCCTAATTCCCAAACCCTAAACCCCAAACCCTGCTAGTGAGTGTGGGTCCAGGGCTCTCTAGGGCTCTCCAAATCTTGGGGAGCTTCGTCTTGGGCCCCCGCATGACAGACCCCTAAACCCTAAACTCTGCTGGGAACCTTAAGCCCGAAGACCTAAACTTGCTTCGTTTAGGGTTCAGGCCTTGGGGTTCAGGGTTTAGGGTTTCGAGTCCAGGGTTTGGGCAGGGGTTTAGGGTTTAGGGTTCAGGGTTTAGTGTAAATCCGTGTTTAGGGCTTCGGGTTTTTGACAGATTGGGGTTCAGGGTTTGGGCAGATCCTTCCCAGCAGGGGTTCTGCTACAGAAGCCATCGTATAGAGGCGCCTGAATGTAGCACAGCCCTAGGCCCAAAACATAAACCGACGCCCAACAAAAACCCTAATTAGGGTTCAGGGTTTAGGGTTTAGGGTTTAGGGTTTAGGGTTTGGGGTTTAGGGTTTAGGGTTTAGGGTTTAGGGACACCCCCAAACCCCCGTTGCCTGGCGCCCGTGCTCTCGGAATCTGCGAGGCCTCCTTGTGCCTCTCCAGCGACTCGGAGCAGGCGCTTCCGGAGACCCGAAGTCTACAAAATGTCAGCCCAGAGGATGATCTTTGAGCATCCTAAACCCTAAACCCTAAACCCTAAACCCTAAACCCTAAACCCTAAACCCTAAACCCTAAACCCTAAACCCTAAACCCTAAACCCTAAACCCTAAACCCTAAACCCTAAACCCTAAACCCTACCCCCTAAACCCTAGCCCTAAACCCTAAACCGTCTTGGGGTTTAGGGGTCTTCCCGGCTCCTGACAGCTCCGGTAACCTGTATCGGTCTACGGCTGCAGGGTTCGAAGGCTAGAGGTCTGCGCACTCAAGCCCAAAACCCCACAACACCCCCCAAAAGCCCCAAACCTAAGCCCTGAAACCCTAAACTCTAAACTTCAAACCCTAAACCTCAAACCCTAAACCTCAAACCCTAAACCCTTGACCCTAAACCCTATAAAAGCCCTAAACTCTCCTCCTCTGCTCTGGTGAGCAGGAAGACATGACGATGACGACCCTGAACTCCCCATTGCTGCTCGGTGCAATACAGGTTTTAGGGTTTAAGGGTTTAGGGTTTAGGGTTTAGGATTTAGGGTTTAGGGTTTAAGGGTTTAGGGTTTAGGGTTTAGGGTCAGGTCGTTAGGTCTAGGGCATACTGTAGGTCAAATAGGCATCCAGGAGTCAAGGTCCGGGCTCTGTCGAATGAGTCCTAGGTTCCGTTTAGGGTTTAGGGTTTAGGGTTTTGGGTTTAGGGTTTGGGGTTTGAGGCTTAGGGTTTGGGGTTTGGGGTTTGGGGTCTGGGGTTTAGGGACGCTCGCCATCCGAGAATCCTAAAACCTAAGCCCTATAAACCTTTACAAGCTTTTCTTGATAATCCTGGTTTTTTTCAAATGCTGAAGTCCGGCTTCGGAAACTGGACGAATAAGAGCAGGACGGAAAACCCCAGAGCCCTGATGCTGGAAAGCCCTGAGAGCCCCAAAGCCCTGCATATTCCTGAACCCGCCCCCCCCCCCCCCCCCCCCTCCCCCAAATAGGGTTGAGGGTGTAGGGTTGGGGGGTTAGGGTTGAGGGATTAGGGTGCTAGGGTTGTAGGGTTTAGGGTTTAGTTTCCACTCTTAGATGGTGCCGAGGTTCTCTCCCACGCGGACAGAGGACGGCGACTGCTTGCTAGCCTTGCTCACGCCCTCTGCTTCCTCACGTCTTAGGGTAGTTACATGGATGGTCCCTTAAAAGGGGTAAAAGGGGACCCCTAAAAAACCCCGTATGTATCCTATAAAGCGCAAGGGCCCTTCCTTCAGAACCCTTTGAAGGAGGCAAGGGACCATGTCAAGGGCCCCTAAATCACTGTTCCAATGACTGGTATATTGCCTAGGTATAGGGCTGTGGGCTAGGGCCTAGGGTCGCGAGAATGTACGAAGATGTCCGCGATCAAAACCCTAAACCCTAAACCCTAAGCCCTAAACCCTAAACCCTAACCCTAAACCCTCAGCCCTAACCCTAAGCCCTAAACCCTAAACCTTAAACCCTACACCGGCTCCAAACCACTAGAACCTAAACTTGCTAGCCCAGTGGTACCCTTTCCCCTTTTTGGTTCAAGTTCCCGGATGAAAAGCCACCAACCCACCCACCCACCCCCCCCCCCTACCGCCCCCCAGCAAGAAGAAGGTGCCCTTATGATAATATTGTTACTGGGCTACCAGTCAGGCCCGAACCCGAAACCCTAAACCCTAACCCATAGATGTGCATTTGTTTAGGGTTTCAGGGTTTAGGGTGTAGAGGGTTTATGGGCTTACAGGGTTTACAGGGTTTGTAGGGTCAAGAGGGTTTATGGGGTTTATATGTTTTAAAGGGTTCACAGGGTTTAGGGTTTAGGCTCAAGCCTTCCGGACTATGGAAAGCAGAGGACCACTTGTCGCGCTGTTGGGAGCCCTCTGCTACTCCCGCGCAACGTCCGCGTCCGGCAGGCCCCCCGGGGCTGTTGGAGGGAGGGCTGGAGGGAGGGCTGGAGGGAGGGTTTAAGGTTTAGGGTTTAGGGGTTTAGGGTTTAGGGTTTCAAGGGCTTCAAGGGCTTCAAGGGCTTCAAGGGCTTGGAGGGCTTGGAGGGCTACACGGCTTCAGGGCTGGAGGGGCTAAAAGGGTTGGTCAGGGTTGAATACCAAATGTTTCCCTAAACCCTAAACCCTAAACCCTAAACCCTAAACCCTAAACCCTAAACCCTAAACCCTAAACCCTAAACCCTAAACCCTAAACCCTATTCAAATGTTTTCAAGACTCTCACCTCAAATCTACCTTTCTTAACAACTCTGCCTACGTAAGAAATGGCCGAGACTCTGCTGGACCCTTGAACCTTTCTTACCAAGAGTTTTGACCGTACCCAAGTATCCCCAGATCCCAAAACCCTTTCCCCTACTCCCTAAACCCTAAACCCTAAACCCTAAACCCTAAACCCTAAGGGTTTGGGGGGTTATCTGTGCCTCGGTGAGGCGCGACGCCTGTGACTGGGTGCAGGTCGGCGAAGTGGACACATCCCAAATTAAGCAGGGTTCACCCCTTGTATAGGTTTAGGGTTTAGGGTCTAGGGTCTAGGGTCTCGGGTTTAGGGTTTAGGGTTTAGGGTGTATATAGGGTTTAGGGTTTAGGGTCTTGGGTTTTGGGCTTTATGTTTGGGTTTAGGGTTTAGGGTACACCAGTTTTTGTATAGCCCTCCCACCCCACCCCCCTGCCATTCTATGCAGTAACCCTAGAATTGTGAGACGTTCCGCACAAAGTGATGGGGTTTCAGGGCTAGGGTTTGTTTTTACCCTAGAGTTCTGCTTCTCGGGGCTTAGTTTGTGATGGTGTTCTACCCTCAATTCATAGACCTACTGGCTCTTAGTAGGGTTAAGGGCTTTTTAGGCTTCAGGGTGGGTACTACAGGGTCTACACAGGGGGGATGTGAGGTGCTTATTTCCCTCCTTCCCTACCAAGAGCCATTCGGCAAGACGCCAAACCCGACACCTCGATTTTGGCTATTGACTAGGTTTTGGAGTACTATGCTTTCATACGTTTTTTGTTTCTGGGTTCCTATTTTAGCTACTTATACCAAAGAAGTATATACTTACTTTAATATTTTTGTTTCTGGGTTCCTATTTTAACTACTTATACCAAAGAAGTATATACTTTTATTCCAGGGCCTACTCCAAAGAAAGGGCGGAGGTGCCGAGGCTTCGACATTTCTTGGGTTTAGGGACCACGGTTTAGGCTTAGGGGGTATAGGGTGCCTCGGAGCCGCAGGCCGAGGGTTTAGGGTTTAGGGTTTAGGGTTTAGGGCTTAGGGCTAGGGTTTAGGGTTTAGGGTTTAGGGTTTAGGGTTTAGGGTTTAGGGTTTAGGGTTTAGGGTTTAGGGTTTAGGGTTTAGGGTTTAGGGTTTAGGGTTAGAAGTCCTAAGTTCCACAAACCTATGCCCATAAAACTTCAGAAACTTGCCCTAGTTCCTATCGAGGCATCGTGTGTGGAACGTTGCCAAGGCTCTTGTCGGACCCTTTTCACCTGAAAGTTGCCCGCCCGAACATGTTCACAAAGAACCCTAGACCCTCTAAACTCAAACTCTGCTCTGCTCAGCAAACCCCGAACCCTCTAAACCCCACCGCCTCTAAGCCCCACACCCTCTAAGCCACAAGCCCTCTAACCCCCAAACCCCCCCTCCAATTCCCACCAACCCTTGTGGCCTTTAAGTCCTCTGAACACCAAACTAAGAGTCCTTAAAGGGGTTCTAGTACCCCTAAATATAACCCCCATTAAGGACTGTTGGTACTAGGGGGAACATCCCCAAACCCTCCATTTCCTAAGCCCTCTAGCATCCTCCTTTTCTCAGGAAGAGCAGGGGGGGGCAAAGGCATCCCAAACCCTAAACCCTAAACCCTAAACCCTAAACCCTAAACCCTAAACCCTAAACCCTAAACCCTAAACCCTAAACCCTAAACCCTAAGCCTTCCACAGGTGTCGTTCCCCTTCTCCACCTTTAATGAGCAAGGCCGGCACCGCGTTCTAGTTTTCCGGGTTTAGGGTCTGGGATTTGGGGTTTAGGATTTGGGGTTTAGGGTTTAGGGTTTAGGGTTTAGGGTTTAGGGTTTAGGGTTCGGGGTTGTTGTTGGCTTAGCGTTTGGGGTTTAGGGTGTAGGGTTTAGGATCTGGGGTTTGTAGTTTAGGGTTTAGTGTTCGGGGTTTTTGGCTTAGCGCTTGGGGTTGAGGCTTTGGGGTTTAGGGTGGGGGGTTTGGGGGCTTGGGGGTTAGGGTTTACAGGGCTTAGGGTTCTATCGTCCCCTTATCAGGAAATCTGAAATCTGTTTTGGCTTTTGGTTGTCTAGAACCCACAGGAAGATTATGCAAACTCTCTACATGGGGGTTGTGAGGGAATTTTGATGCAGAGGCGGGTTCAGGGTTTAGGGTTACCTGTAAAGCCACACAACACTGCAATGAATCGTGAATCTTCTAATCCCACCATAGCACCGGGCATCGTCCCGGACAACACGTCCAAATCAGCTGCAGGCTTACCCTAAACCCTAAACCCTAAACCCTTACATCCACCGCATTTCACGCTATGCTGCTTGCTGCCTCTTGGCACCCCCAGTAGACGAGTGAGGAAGAACCCCCAAAAACCAAACACCACCCAAGAAAGCCTAAAAGCTCTCAAGTCTTAAACTCCTGAGATGCTTTCTGAGAAGGGCTGTTGAGGAGGCCCCCAAACCCTAATCCGCACACGAAAACAACTTAAATCCTGACTCCCTGCAGATTGACCCTAAAACCCTAAACCCTAAACCCTAAAGAACGTCTTCGGGTCCCCAAGCTTAGCCTTGAATGTATGTCAAGGCACGACGCTGCGGAAGCACCAGCAGGCACCGCGGAAAGACGGAGAAATAGTCGGAGATCAATTGGGGATTTTGTAGGGTTTAGGGTTTAGGGTTTATCTAGGGTTTAGGGTTGAGGGTTCGTGCCTTGCACTGAGCGTTTAGGGTAAGAAGTTGGACTGGGTTGAGGACGTAGGGTGCAGGCTTTAGGGCCACTGCTTCAACAAAGATCGCACGGAGGAGCGTTGAG